TTAAACCACCAGTACATTGCCCCAGGCAAATTTAGATCCTGTTTTGAGCCTCCCCTAAAATTTAGGAGCGCGAGTGCCGTAGATAAAATGAATCCGCCGTGGGCGGCCTCCGAAAGGGGCCCGGGGCTGATAGCTGGCATGTACTGGTGCTTTAAAGCCAAGTTAGACCCCCGTTCCCCCCCCTTGACAGCCAACATTCGAAAAAAGAAGAGAGCCGGATTCCAGGCCCTCTCCGAATGCGCAGAACAAAAAAAAAAAAAAAGTTCACCACACTTTTCCTGTTGCCCGGGTACCCCGGGCGACTTGCCCGGTTGCCAGCAACTTCTGTCTTATTTAGTCAAAAGACTCAAAAAACTTTTCATGAAACCTTCTCAGCTACCCCTGAAGAAAGATTTGAAATATGAATCCATTGTTTCTGAATTACCACAGCTCACACGAGTATTTCACGAGGCTTTACTGTTGGAAGCTTGAAAACAACAGATGGCATTCAAGTACGCAGATTATTGGAGGAATCCTGTGTAGATTATATGATTATACATGGTAGAGAGAAGAGGGATGAAAAGGTTGAATCTATACACCAACCTTCAACAACAAGAGAAGCTGATGTCTGAGCGCTCGGTCATTTGTCCTGTCAAGCAGCACTGTAATGTGAGCAGTCCCATCAAATGGACCAATGACTGACTGAAAGCGATCATACACTATGGTCATTGCCCGTGCACACAGCTCCCTTGCGTTGGGTGCACTAACTCCACCGAATCCCTCAAGACCACTCAAAGAGCACCAGTCATTCATCAATCCTGAACCATCAAGAGTTTCCAAGTTGAAGCCCTCCACACTCAGGCCTGCATCCGCATCACAAAGGAAGCGGTGATACAGCGCCCTGAAAAATGTAGGTGGATCTCTCAAGATAAGCTCATTCTTTGAGCTAGCAAGACCATCCTCGCCTCCATCGCTCGAGTTGCTCCCGAACTCGAGCAGCAACCGGAGATAATATTGGCCAACACAAAGCTCCCTTGACAGCGTCGCATACTTCACCTTGAACTCCAGATAGTTCCATGACAGCTGCCCCGTTCGTTGTTCCACCACCTCCGTCTCCTCGGCATTGTCTTCCTTTGCGGTAGTCGGTGACCAGACGGAAACACCACCGTCTGCTGAGCGATCCCGTTCAAGGTCGAGGTGGTGAACCTCTTTCTCGAGCGCTTCGCGCAGCTCTTGCCGTGTCTGTTCATTCCAAATCAAGTCTGCACGATGATGATCCTTAGCAAACTGCACCCAAAGCTCTGGCCAGTTGTACCGAAGCTTCAACGCTCTGCCTGCAGAAGTTGACTCACTAACCACCGGGACTGCACCGGCCCCTGCTGCTTGTCCACGGGTTCCCTCAGCAGTTCCCCCCTCTCCAGGTGCCAGCGCCCTATTCATGACACCACCACCAGCAGACTCGCCACTACCATCAGCATAACTGCTCTCACTACCAACCTCCATGACACCGAACTCACCGGGCATTGGTCGGGTGTTACTGACCGCTGCTACCGCATTCAGAATAGAATTTCCCACACCTGAAGAGCCAAGCAAACCCGCAATGCTCTCCCGCACGCCACCAGGAAACCCATCACCCATCCCACCGCCTGCTCCAGGACTCCCGTCAAACACACCTCCGGGACCAGATAGGGCAGCACTGTATCCCTCCCCCACTACAGCTGCAACGGCAAATTTCGCAGCAGCTCTCCGCAGGCCCCTCCCTCGACGTCTCTGCAGCAATCGCTTCTGCTTCCTCCTCATCATCACATCGTCGGGCAGGTCAAAGTGTGCACCGCCCTGAGGGCCAGACCCTCCAGGTGTGGTGTTTCCCCCACTGGCGATGGCCGGAGGGGGTGCTGGTGCTTCATCCACGACAGGTTGCCTTGTGAAGAGATACGCCACCAAGCCAGGTGGAATTGTGCGCGCCAGGAGATCCATCGCTGGGGGATAACCGTCGGCCCAAAGCGCAACAAGTTGACGGCTCACATCTCGTCTTTCTCCCTCGGGCAGGAAGAAGGCATGAATGAGGTGCCTGAGAACCGCCCCATCACGAAGTGCTGCATCACGCATGGGCTCGGCAGCAACCGCGTCCTCCTCGGCGATCGTTCTCATCATAACTCCGACCGTCTCCACCACACCTGGTGCTGGATGTGCAAAAAGAGCAAATAGCCTTCGTCGAAGGGCAGCAACTTGCCTCACTGTCTCACCGAAGCTCTTGTCATCAGTTGTCTCGCTTAATGGCTCACAAAGCATTGCCTCTAAGACCTCAACCACTGCCATAGACAGAAGCGGGGAGACCGCCAAGGGCCGCAGACGGCTCACAAGCACAGCCACCCACCGTACATTACCAAAGGCGGAAAGCTTAGCTTGTGCCAAAAGCGCATGCCTCTCGCCTTTGACATTCAGCAGCAGTGCAACTTCTCCAGGCCCGCCACCGATCACAAATGCAACGAGTCGGGCAGCCTCGGCAGCTACACCTTCTGAGCCACTCCTCAGAAGGCCCATCACCCTCGCCAAAGCCCCTGGCATGTTCAGCACCATTGACATTGCAGACGTTGCCCCAAGCAACCGCCGAAGGCAAGCCAGCACACCCATGTACGCGGCACCTTTGTTCTGGGAGGGGGCTGGCAGAGGCGGTGCATTAGGCGATGTGTCGATCGGCGGCGGTGGTGGCAGCATCGACAGCAGAGCCATCACGGCTACTTCCGGCACCTCTGCATTTGGCAAAACACCAGAATAGGGGACACATGCATTGAACTCCCGCACTCTCCTCCAAACCCTGGTCTTCAGTCCAGGTGTGGCTCCTGCATCCGCAATCGCATCTCTGGAAGCCGCTGCCAAATGCTTCAGATGGAGCATTTCTCCTTCCAGGTCTGCGAACAGCCGGCCAGGTCCATGCTGCGGTACTGGTGGAGGAGCAGGAGGTACCCCTATACAGGGTGGGTCGAGGTGATGCCCAGGGAGGGTCGGCCTGGCATTGACTGGAACCGGTCGCTGTCCCTGAAAGTTGAGGCCCGATACAATCACCCATACACAGATTAGCACCATCATACTTATCGCACACGAGATGCGTGCAAAATGCACACTGGTGTGCTGCACATGATGCAGGCGCACCCAAAAAAAAAAAAAAAAAAAAAAAAAAAAAAAAAAAAAAAAGCCAGTTTTTAAGTTTTTTTCTAAAAGGTAGAAAAAATGAGAAGGCAGCTAGTTTCAATGGGTGCGGGCAGCTATCTCACAGTAGTACTCCAGGGTGCTGAATTCTACTAATAAAATTTAAAAAAATAAAAAAAAACTAGGCTGTTTTCCCGGGCGCCCGGGCACCCAACTTCTGCCCGGGTACACCCCCGGGTGCCCGGCTGGGCATGACCCCCAGGCAGGATTTACTATTTAGCGTAGAGTGGTCTATGTCCACGCGTTCCCCTCGGATATAGCTTAATGGGTTACCTTGTATCCGAGGGGTACTCCCAGACCCACGCTTTCTTTAGATTCCTTGGACTACTCGCATGGCTAGTAGCATTTCCGCAACCATGTTTATAGATCAGTAAAAGACTCTGGCCAACCGGTGGCGAAGTCGCTAAACCCCTTTTTTCCTGTGTGCAAATGGAACGGCTTCCCAGCCATGTGCGAATTTGAAGTTGGCCCTATGACTTTGACCCAGAGCAGACAGAATTGGGAGTTTGGTGATGGTTCACCAAAAGGGGGCATTGAGGGATATATTAAACCGGGTTTTAATGGAGTCCAAAATCTGAAGGGGTGTGTTACCTTGTATTTTGAATTTATTACAGAATTTGGAAGTGACCCTTAAGGGCCTTAACCAACAGTCGTTTGCAAGTCTGCACACCATTTCCTTTTTTTTTTCCCCTAAAGAAAGAATCCTTATGCAGGCAGGGGACATGCTAATCTTCTCTGTATCATTCCATTTTTTAACGGATGTCCCAAAAGGACCGCACAACATTTTCTTGTTCCAAAAACAAAAAAAACAAAAATTCTTGTTCGTAGATTTTTCGGCTTTTTTTAGTTAATTTTGTGCTGGCATCGCCCAGGAGCTTGCCTGGTCCAGGCCGGATCGATAGTCCGGGCAATGTATCCTGCACACAAATATAAGGAGGATGTATACATTGTATAGCCAATACCGGGTCTCGTAGAGTACAGGGTCGAATTCTTTTTCCAAATCAGTGCTTAAAAAAACGAAATTCGAAAGAAAAGGATTGGAGGTTAAAGTTCCGTTAAACATTAAAAAAAAAAAAAAAACAGAGAAAAATAAAGCAAACCATTTGTGAATCATAAAGGGGCACCAGTGAAGGCAACTTCGCTGCGAGTTCGAAAACAAAAGAAAAAAGTTCAAAAAAACACATAAGCACTCAGGATCCAACGCCATAATAAGAGACTGGGCAACCGATTAGTGACACCCCTTTTTTTTTGGTTTTTCGCAACTTTTTATTTACAGCACCACACCATTTTTCTAGTGCACAGTTAACCACAGACAGGTTAGCAGGCTCTCGTATACACTAGAAGCACCCAGTAGTGCCTCTAATTTTGTCAAGCCAGCACCAACTGCAGAATTCCTGCATTGAATTAAACGGCGCTCTCAATAAACTCCCCTATTTGATTTGAAGCCACCACCATTAACTGCACCACTCCCCCCAATAACAATAACATAAGAAAAAGTTTCAGAAAAAAAAACACAACGAGGCAGAGAGTGCAAGCAACCACTGATAGGCTGTTGTTCACTAAGCTGCCAGCATATTTTCCACCGCCACACACAGAAAAAGCCCTTGCCAATTCAATTTGTGGCTAACAAACGATCCAATCTATCAAGCAGCTGCCTTACGCAAATTTTACCGTAGGGCTTCTCGGAATACAACTGATTATAGCCTACCCTCAGCCTTTTAAAGCACCAGTACACCACACATAGGCCCGCAGGTGTCAGCATGAAACCCGCATCCCTTCGGTGGCTGCCGATATTTTTTTTTTTAACGGTGCCCCTGGCGATGCGGCGCCTCCGATATTTTTTTTTAAACGATGCCCCTGGCGGTGCGGCGCCTCCGAGTTTTTGCTTGTAACGACAAAAGCTTTCTGCAAGGCTGGGGCCGTGTACTAGCGGTTTAAAATCTCATTCTCTCTGGAACAAACATCACAAGTGGAAACAAACATATATAAATCCAAATTTACAAAGAGGGGGGGGGGGGGGGGGGGAGAGGAGAACAAGTGAAAACAAAATAGATTTAAGTTGTACAAACCTCCGTCTGCACAGTGTCCAAGAGTGCTGACAGAAGCCAGTCGCGCGATGTGCTCATATAGACCTGGTTCACCACACCGACGAGACGAAGGGAGAAAGAAACCACTTTAGAAGTTTAGAACACAGAACAGAAAGGCACAACCAAAGCTGTTCAGAGCGCATAAACATAACATAAAGAAGCCCAGACGCCAAACGTGAGAAGGAAGACGCCATACATGAGAAGCAGCATAACAACAAGTCTGACACAAGTAAATGGTTGCCTGTTAATCAGCTGTGTCCCCCCATTCACGAGAACGATTCTTACCAACACTCAACAGCTGTTCATGCTTCCCTTGGGCCCTTTCTTTCCATGCTCTCTCTGATGCAATGACCGGACCGGATGATCTGCGTCCATTTCAGTCCCTCTGGTGCTGAACCCAATGTCCCTGTGTGGTTGCAAGATCGATAGAGGAAGACGAGAAATTTAGGGAAAATACTTAAATAGGCTAACCCTATTATTACAGGATGATGATGTTATGATGTTCTTCGGAACAAGCCAAGGCACAAAAGACCTTGTCGCTGCAAGAGAGAAAACATCCACACACATGGAGGCATGTTTCGAAACCTAGACCAATGCAAATTTAGCTGCACGCCTTTCGCACAGGACGGGATTGGGAGTCGCTAGAAGGAAAAGGAAGAAGTGCCTTGGTCCATGGTGAAAGCTCAGGGAAGGTTTCATTGAAGTCTCTCTGAGCCTTTGCCTTGAAGGCATTTCGTCGGTTGTGGGCTTCTGTGAGGGGACATGTAAACTACTGCACCTATCCAAAATCCATCCATCCAACCATCCTCCTGCTGTGCTGGAGAAGCCTGAGTGCTTTCTCCTTCCCCCAACCATGACAGCGTTATAACACAAACTGCCCCTTTCACCCCCACCCACCTCTCTCTCTTCCGTTGCATGAATTTCCATACGATCTCTCCCTTGTCTGCTGAAGCAGTGAGCAACGCGGTCCCCCTCTCTTCTCTCGTTTCCCTTCATCCTACCTGTCTTTCCCACCCCACCCCTCTCGTATTTACTTACTACCATAGTCGTCACGGCACACACAATCCAGGCATTTCTGCCATCAGCCGCAAGCCCCAGTAACATTCTACCTCCTTCGATATCGTCATTTTGCAGATCAAGCCGCCATGATGACCATCATAAGCAAGGCGACTCTCTGCACAAATTAAATTCAGTCATAAGACTCATACCCGCCAAACTCGACATCGCAGGAAAAAAAGAAACAAAAAATCCAGCCGTGCTAGACTCGCAAAGTCAGGGTGGTGAGGCAGCCTAGTCATTCTGTAAGACAGGGTGTGACCATGAGGGAATCACTGGGAACTGGACTGAAAGGTTGTCTGAGTAAATGTGGTATTCTGCCGATGCCCCCCCCCCCCCCCCCCCCCCTCTCCCTTCCCCTCTTCCAACCAACACAACACACACACAACGCTATCGGCACAATATATTTATCCCTTTCAACGAAGAAAGCAGAGCAGACTTTGATATGATTTCACTCGTACCAGGGTTGGCCCACCGTCGTTGAACTCGATTGCAAACATCTGAGGCTCCTCGACAAATCTGATTAGTGCAAACACTGCAGATAGTGGACGGATAAGCACCGCCTGCAAAACGCACAGCAATTTGCACCATCTAGGTGATTGTTGTCAGTTCATTCCAGACCCTACCAATCACTCAATCAGAAACAAGTGGCTCATGCAATCAATTTGAAAGCAGAGTGCGAACATGAAAGCAGCGGCGTGCAAACACTCTTGGTCGCTGCCAGTCAATCAATCAGAAACAAATGGCTCATGCAATCAAATTTAATTTCCTGAATTTTCCTCAACAAATAAGCAAGCGCAAACACTTCAAAAAGTGACCGAATACAAATGGTCCGCAGCAGACAACAATGTGCACACCTGCATTGACATTTCCCATTCCTCCTTATCAGAAGTATAAGCCATTCAATCCACCTCATTTCAAGCCATTGACGCCCTTCCTATAACGACTAATAGTCCGGAGCTTGGAAAAAAAGAACACACAGCAATGAACACAACAATGCAATCCATTTTTTTATTCGCCCGATCACATGGATTTTCGTCTGTGACCCTATCAGAAACCTAAGCCTCAAGTGATCAATGACTCACAGGCTTCAGACTGTAACTGTGAAAACAGCTACAGACTTCAGAAGTGTGCCCAATGAATTGACATATGGCCCTCACAGGCTTCAGTCTGTAACTGTGAAAACAGCTGCCTCTTTCATTTACTCCAAAGACTGTACTACCAATGACTCGCATGATTGCACACTGTGCAGGCTGTCAGGAGCCGGGGGGAAGGGGGAAGGGGTGGGGAGGGGGGAAGGGGGACCTGTTCACATCATCTTTAACAAGACTGTAATACTGGAACAACAACAGATGTTACATTCTGTTTCAACAAATCAACACACCTTGTGACATCATAGGACTGGGTATAGATAGCCTCTCACGCGCACTCGAACACATCGGTGCACTGTATCCCTTATTTTACTTTAATGACATAGTCACATAGATAGATATAATAAGACTGGAAATGTGACCTAAGTTTTACCTAAGCTTTTTAGTATATCTGGATATCCCAAAAAAAAAAAAAAAAGGAGATATATATATCGTCAAATAGAACTGCCCAGTAAACCGTAGGCAGAGAGGGAGAAGAGGACAACAAACGAGGGGCTGTGTATGGATATAGATAGGCTTTACCTATGGACTGCGTAGGTGCTCTTTTGTCTCCTAAGGAAATATGACCTAAGCTTTACCTAAGCTTGCAGCAGTTTGTACCCTCCTCCTGACAGTGTGACAGACAGTGGGGTGTAGGTAGTCTCTCCCCATCAGTGAAATTTTTGGGCTTACAACGCCCTTACGTTCAAAACGCCACAAGGGAGAAGAGAAATTCTTTTTCTAAGCACCTATCAAATGAAGGACAAGTTACAAACTGCATAAAACCGCATCATGCACAGATGTTGAGGAGTGCACGAAGAAAAAAAATAGGGGCTCACTCCACTACTCACCAAATGTGAAAAATGTGAATGAATCTTCTGCTTGTCTCTTGTGCATGTGGTGAGTAGTGGAGTGAGGCCCATAGCCTCAAAGCAAGCAAAGGATGGTGTCATCTCGAAAGCCCAACATTTGCCAAGTACCAAAAGAGTCCCAATGTATCTTTTGTCATGTCCCAAAAGAGTCCCAGCACAACATTTATCGAGTCCCGAAAGAATCCAAAAAGCGCAACGTTTGTCGGACCGCAAAAAAACAGTTCACGCGCAACATTTGTCTGTCCAGGTTTCAACAGAGTGCAAGTCCAACATTTGTCGAGTCCCAACAGAGTCCTGACGAAGCATTCGCAATGCCTCATCACAGACCAAGCTCAACATTTGTCAGGTACCAATAGAGAGTCTCACCTCATAGTTATTGGGACGTCTTTCAATAATTGACGTTCCGGTCAAAACCAGCCTGCGCGGCACAGCATCCCCACCACTCCCAATGCCTCCAGTTCCTCCAACCCCTCCTTGCCCAGCTTGGCCCAAAGGCACCCCAATGACACGCAACGTCCCATGCCCTGCAGTTCGCAGTCTCACGACTGACCAGTCTCCCACCGGTGGTTCTTCTGGACCAACCATGCACAAGGCTGTTGCAAGCATGAAAACGCAAATAATATCAACAACAATCAAAGAGCTGTATTATGTCTCACGGTTCTCATTCATTCACGAGTTATGGACCCCCCCACAATGGAGTCAAATCGAGTTCTGATCTCCTACTTTCAAACAGCACACATGTACATATCCATACATGCAAGCACCGTACATACACAGCCCCTTCCAGTTTGGAAAAATGCAAAAACTAGCCCCACTAGCATGCACCTGGACGTGCAGATGCTTACATGCATGATCTGTGCCTGTACATGAGATTTGTGGGTCAATTCTTTTTCGTTTTTTTCCCCCAAAGGGTGAGGGCCTCGAGACATTACCATGGAACTGGCTGGCCCTGGGTAATTCAAAACTTTGGTTCTGTTTACGGTTGCATACCCGCGGACTGCCAACAGCGACCTCCAACCCTTTTACAGCCTACCAGTAGGGCCAACTGGTCGGCGGTCTGCTGATCAGTCGGTAGAGGGCCATCCGCTGATTTTTTTCAAATCTGAGTTTGGGGTTGTACTGCCCTTGCTGAGTACAGCCCAAATCCGCTGAGAAACTTTTGGGGAAGAAAGGAAGGAGGGGGGGGGGGGGGGGGGGGGGGGGGGGGGGGGGGGTGGGGCCCCCCCCCCCCCCCCCCCCACCACCACCAAAAAAAAACAACACTTTCTTCAAGTTTCCTTTCCTTTTTTTTGCCGACCAGTAGAAGCCGACATGTGGAATGATAACCTGGTCGGCAGCCAACCTAACCAGGGGCCCCAACCATCGACGTGACTACACTCTGGTTCTGTTCATCGAGGGATTTGAACTCACCCACAGGGTGCACTTTCTTAAAGTTTGTGTTTCAACAGTTCATTGGTCAATTCTGATCTGGAGTCTGGACTAGCTTTCTGAACCTTTGTCCTCTCAAGAACTAAATTTGTTCAAATTCTTTAATGACATATAAATAAAATAAACGGGTTAGTAATATTTTCTGCCCTCCACCCTTCAGGTAATGAATGACATGCACTCAAAACACCTCTGTGTCCCTTACCGAGGACCCAACTGTTGTGCAATGTCACTGAACTGGTGCACTTTCTCTTTTTCCCATTCATTAAATTCAAACTTCTCATACATGTGCGGGGGTTCGGGAGGATGATGGGAAGCGAACAGTGATCTGCAGTGGGTCTTACCTCATGATTGCCAAAGGGCATCGTTACGGAAGCAGAAGAGCGGATCATGATTGCCAAAGAGCATCGTTAGGGGAGGAGAAGAGCGGATAGACTACTCGAAGAGAGAGAGAGAGAGAGAGAGAGAGAGAGAGAGAGAGAGAGAGAGAGAGAGAGAGAGAGAGAGGAAGTAGACAGTAGGACAGGAAGAGGTGTAGGCAGTTACACTGAAGTCAATGGCTATATTGTTGTTGTTGTCTGGAGGGGAGTTGTTGGGCTTCTTGTATCAAAAGACTCTCAGCATAATTGTGTTCGCATTTGGTGTGATTTCGGCTTGTAATCTGCTTTCGACTTTGCTCTCATATGCTTGCTCTGCTTCGCGTCTTTCTCTGCAATAGAAAAAATAGATGTTCATCGCCTGGTTCCTTACGTACCCAAAAAGAAAGGAAACGTACTTCCCTCCATATGTCCACGAGGAATTTTTGGCCTTTTTCCTAATGAACACAGCTCATTGGCCTGATTTCCTTTTTCCCGAATGAATATAGGGGTTCCCTCTTTTATGCACACATTCCGTAGTGGACCACGGTTCAAACCCGTAAGATTTTTGCCATTTGCCATCAGAGTATGCGCTGCCCTAAATATATAAATACGACTTCTGCCCGCCTACTGCTACTTCCCATAAACTAGTCTCCCGACCGTGAAATCCAGATTCTATCTCAGCTATGGTCACCTCTTTTTTCTTCTTCCCCCCCCCCCCTTACTCAGGTCTGTATTTCAACAGCTCATAGGTGCAGCAACCGCACTACCTGATAATGAATCTATGTTGCCGTCCCGATACAGTCATAGGGCTTCGCTCCACTACTCCGCGAATGTGCAAAATGAGAAATGATCTTCCGCTAGACAACCTAGGGGTGAAAAGTGGGGGTACCTGTTAACCATTTGTGCTTCCGCTAGGGCAATGCATGCAGGCAGTGGGTGCACATACGCAAAGATAGATAAGTGATTGATTACATAATCGAGCAAAGACAGAAAGAAACTTTATGTTCCTCATGGTTTCAGTAAGCTAGAGCAATCAATGACGTCAATCCCACCGGGTCAGGGAAGATACAATGACATATATTTTGTTTTTTGTGCATGTGGCGAGCAGTGGAGCGAAGCCCATAATGAGGTTGTGTTGTGTTCAGCGGAAGATGGTAGGCCTGGTGGAAGCTATGCTCACCTCTTTCTTCCATGAACCTACGTAAATCGATGCCGGATCCCGAATCAACGACCACAGTATGTCCGAGATGTGTCTTTGACATGGACACCTGCAAAACAGTTTCCCAACACAATTTGCGCAAATCATATCAGTTCTCTACAGCTGTGCACAGTTCTGCACAAAAACAACAATGGCATTCTGAAACAGTACAGCTCCCTCTGCCAACACCCTCGCCACACACACATGCGGGGGGAGAGAGAGAGAGAGAGAGAGAGAGAGAGAGAGAGAGAGAGAGGGAAAAAAAGAAAAAAAGAGAGGGAAACAGAAAAAGAGAGAACGAGGAGAGAGAGAGAGAGAGAGGTCTACAAAATAACTGAAAAAGGGCACAGGTGGGGCTGTGAAACTTCCAACTTGAGTCAAATCGAAATGCATCACCTGAAAAGAGAAAAGAAAAAGAAAAAGGGAGCCCCATGTAGAGTTCAGCCTTGCAGAACGATTCTGTGTATGCATACAAGCTGCGACAGTGATTCAGAAAGAAGAAGAAGAAGAAGAAGAAGAAGAAGAAGAAGAAGAAGCTGCAACAGTAATTCATTCACAAGTTACAAGGAAGCAGCATGTTCATTCATGTTAAGATATTTTGATGCACGGCCACAGCAGACCTTGTAGGAACACATTGCACACACATACATGCCATCCTTAATTCATGTCGCACCGAAATCACGTTCGACAAAATTGTTTGACATCTACAAAGTGTACCCAAACACATCCGTGCTGCGAGAGCTCGGGGCATGCAGAACAGCTGCAAGAGGCAGCGATCCGTCCACTTACGATTTTCGCCAAAATGGTCGTGTTTGTTGTACCGGGCCCTGCAATGAACACCTTCGGTTTTCTTCCATAGCAAGGGCAAAAGAAGAACCCTCCATCGCCGCCACGATTACCGAAAGAATCCCTCAGGACCACCACCGCAGGAGTCGCCATGTCTCTGAAGTCCAGGCACCAATGCAGATCACCTGTCCTTGCATCCCTCGATTCCACTCCAATCACTGTAATTCGCAAAGTCTGCATTCACTCGCGCATGACACACACACACAAACAGCAACCACAGATGTGCATAGAAAGACCCGCACAATCTACACACACCTAGACAAGCACGCGAGCGCGCACACATGAATGCAAGCACACGCACATGCGCACACGTGCAAAGGTGAGCACACAATGCACATGTGCGCGCACACACACACACACACACACACACACACATACACACACACACGTGCTCGCACACACACACACGCACACCCACACACACACACACACACACACACACACAGAAAAATGGGGGCACAACCACACGAAGCAACCCGAATGGGTTTTTCCTGACAAAGACAAATGCCAGAAAAGAAACAACAAAACAGAAAAGCACAGACGAATCAGAGATGAGCAAGAAACAAAGACACGTAAGAGGCCAAGAGCAACAACAACTTTGGGCTATACAACATGGCTCAGGCACCATAATAGAATTTATAAATCAGCAAAGGTTCTTATGAAAGGCTCGGCTCAGGCTCGGCTCAGGCTCGGACTCGGTTTTGGTCCGGGCACACATAGCTATTTCCTTCTTCTCCTTGCCAAGAAGCATACGCACATTCCGGAGATGAAAAATGTTCAGGCGACATTCTGGCCCTGATTTCAACGACAACTCACCCACCTCGTAGTGATGTTGCTTCAGAGCGTTGGCATGTGACGGAGGCCTTCCTCATATATAAATACCAATGACAACGACACGTGGTTATTTCCTTCTTCTCCTTCCCAAGAGTACAAGCACATTCAGGAGATAAAATTAAAAAAAAAAAGTCCAGGTGACATTCTGGTCCTGATCCCAACGACAACTCGCCTGCCCCATAGTGGTATTGCTTCAGAGCGTTGGCATGCGAGGGAGGTCTTCCCCATATATAAGCACCGAAAACAAAGAGTTGTTCACGTATGCCCCTCACCGTCTTCACCCAAATACAACACGTAGCATAATAATAATAGCTATGTATTTGGGCCAACTTCCAGTCCACGTACAGATAATGTAAGCAATTATGCCACCCTTCTACTGCCTGCATGATTGCAGTGCTGTGGGTTTCCGTCGAAATGGCTTATAATGGTAGCTCAACTAACCTACAGTCTTCCCGCGATCACAACGCACCCCCCCCCCCCCCCCCCCCACAAAAAAAAAAAAAAAAAAAAAAAAAAAAAAAAAAAGAATTAAAAAAAAAAAGAAGAAGACGAAGACGAAGAGATAAAAAAAAAGAATAGAGCATGCATTTACCATGCAAGCAATTATTACAATTTACAACCCCGTCAGTGCAAGAACAACCCTTGGAACAGAGACGCTGGGTACCTCAGTGTGTCCATTACATGCCTGCCCATCCTTATTCGAAAATTTCTCCTTCCAGAATGCCAAAAGATCACTGAAGCAAAATGAGATGTGATAGTTGCTCATGCCTACGGAGGAGGAAGACCGAACCATGCAAATGAAAGCCAACGAGGCTGGTAGTGACAAGCAGCGAGAGACGCAAGAGACATAATCATGGAGCAGAAAGAACTCTGAGAAAACGCGTAGTGAAAGCAAGGGAGAGCATCTGGACCGCAAAGTGCCCAACTAAGAGACAATGCTGTTCACAAAATGCTAGTTGATGCGACCAACAAACATGTCAGACAAGCAGGAGAGTGAGCACCCTGGCAGGGGGGGGGCGGGGGGGGGGGGGGGGGGGGGGGGGGGGGGGGGGGGGGGGGGGGGGGGAGATCTATTTGTTAAAGGAGGCTGACGCAAGGAAGATTTACCTGTGGGGTCTCCAGGCTTGAAGTCAGGTTCTTCAGAAGTTCCTTGGGCGACTTGTCCCGTAACATGGATGCCAACCTTGGCGTCAGAAGTGCTCGAAGTGCTGCATAAGCTTCTGGTTGCGGCGGTGTCGCCAATTCTCCTGGAAGAAGCCCACTCAGTCTTGAAAGAGCAAGAACTGCCAGCTCAGCATGCACATTCTTTGCTTTTTGCACACTCTCGCCCACTCCTTCTGGGCCGCTTCCTTCATTACCACCGGCAGTCGCGTCATACTGCAGTAGGAGAGGGAGAAGATACCTGCCCATCCCAATCATCGCACACACATGCAAAAACATATTTATAATTTTATACCCCCTTTCAACTTTTCCAAAAACCCACCAAACGGTCCTTGCTCAGTTGGTACATCCCCCCTGAACTGTTGCAATATGAATCAGACTCAAGTTCGAATCCAGATACCTTCAGACGAAGATAATAAGATCAGGATGAAGAGAATCGGATCATTCTGAATTGCCTGGGGCCGATCAGTTCAATCAAATTCAATGATGATATCTAATCATTTTGTCCTTAAAAAAACAAAAAAGCTTTTCCAAAAACCTGCACCACATTGCAAAAGATTTGCAATCCACAATTTTTAATTTTTAATATTTATTGAATTTCCTATTGCAC